AATAAAGCTTGTCTGGCCCAAAGAGAGAGAGAGAAACATCGACAGCTGGTGTGGCTCAGTGTTGACCTAGGAACCAGGAGGTCATGGTTCAATTCCTGGCCAGGGCACATGCCTGGATGGAAGGCTCAATCTCCAGTTGGGGGTGTGCAGAAGGCAGCTGATTGATAATTTCCTCTCACCATTGATGTTTCTCTCTGTCTCTCCCTCTCTCTGAAATCAATAAAAAATATATAAAAAATAAAGCTGTCTGACCCATTTCACAGGGCACTGACAAAGGAAAGTACTGGATATGAAAATGCCCGGGGTGGTGTTAGGTCCAACGCTAAGACGTAAGCTGGTTCGTGATCCAGTTAATGTGAGCCTTCGCAGAAGGTCCCTGAACCCCCGCAACCTCTGCCTGCACCGCGCTCGCCCCGACCTCTCCCTCTTCTCCGCAGGCCCCTCCCCACGGGGCCACGGGCACACCCACCTCCCTGCAGCGTCCACTCGGTGACTTTGCCACTGTACACGCCCAGCCCGGCGCTGTTGTAGGCGGCCACCTCGATCTCGTAGTTGGTCCAGATGATGAGGTCCTCCAGCAGCAGGTTGTTGACGTCAGCATCCGTGATGTTCTTGAACTGGTACCCGACGGGCAGCCCGGCCAGGCAGTACCTGAGGGGAGGGAGTGAGGACGCACTGGGTTGATGGTGGCTTGTGTGCCTCATCCAGTGGCTACCTGACTGGTTAACACATATCTTAGGGACCATTCTGGTTTTTTAAAAAATATTTATTTTATTTTATTTAAAAAAAATATTTTTATTGATTTCCAAGAGGAAGGGGCAAAGAGAGAGATAGAAACATCAATGATGAGAGAGTATCATTGATCGGCCGCCCACACTGGGGATGGAGCCCGCAACCTGGGCCTGTGTCCTGACCGGGACTTGAACCGTGACCTCTTGGTTCCTAGGTCGATGCTCAGCCACTGAGCTACACTGGCCGTGCTGGGCTCACATTCTCACTCGGGGCCCCTGTGCCATGTGCTTTGTGCCGCACACCTCTACAGGCAAATTCAGGTGGCTGGGAGCTCAGAGAACCACATGTGTACTTACCTTAGCTCTAACCTTGGGAGATTAGGGCCCCGGGTGATCTGGGTGTTATTATACCCATAGCAGGGGTTCTCACAGCCTTCGTGGGCGTGGAAAACACCTGGAGGGCTTGTTAAAACAGATTGCTGGGACCCCCCGCCCCCCATGCTTCCCATTCAGGTCGGGGTGGGACTTGAGAGTGGTTTCCAAGGCTCTCACTGCTGGAAATTCTTCTAGACCAGTGGTTCTCAACCTTCTTTCCCCGCCCCCCAAGCTTCCCATTCAGGTCTGGGTGGGGCCTGAGAGTGGTTTCTAAGGCTCTCACTGCTGGAAGTTCTTCTAGACCAGTGGTTCTCAACCTTCTGGCCCTTTAAATACAGTTCCTCATGTTGTGACCCAGCCATAAAATTATTTTCGTTGCTACTTCCTAACTGTCATGTTGCTACTGTTATGAATCGTCATGTAAATATCTGATATGCAGGATGGCCTTAGGCGACCCCTGTGAAAGGGTCCTTCGACTGCCAAAGAACTCGTGACCCCCAGGTTGAGAACCGCTGTTCTAGACGCCTAACCGCCATCCTTTCTACCAAAGAGTGGGCTTTTCTTACTGCCTGATCCTTGCTAGATGGCGAAGGGCCCGTGTGAATTGGCTCTGTCCTCCCATCCACTCCTGATGCTCCCCATCCACGGGCCCTCCCTGGTCCCTCCGGCGGACACCCACCTGATGATGTAGCCCTTGAGGAGGCCGTTCTGGTGGTTCTCGGGGGGCGGCTGCCACTGGATCATGATGGACTGGTTGGTCCGGCCGCTGGCGATGACGTTCTGCGGAGGGGCGGTGGGGGGCTCCTCGGGGAGCGAGACCCTGGAGAAGAAAACACCGGGAGTGGGTGGGGTTTTCCCGCTCTTAGTTCTGAGGGCAAACACCGGAGTTTCATGGGATCAGAGGAGGCTGAACCCTGCCCTGCTCTGTTCCCGGACGATGCACCAGTGCTGTGTGCTTTTGGGCAAGTCACTCAGCCTCTCTGAGCTGGTTTCTTCATCTGTAAAAGAAACAGAATGAAGCTCCACTTGCCTGTTTATAAGACCGGTGGGGGCTCAAACGACACAATGTATGTACAAGTCTTTTGAAAACACGGGAAAGCACCGGATGTATGTTTTCTGTGCAGCCCAGGGACGTGGGCCTCAGTTTCCCACGTGTCAGAGCAGCAGCTGTGAAGCTGATGACGTCCGTCATGAGATGCCTGTGTTTTAGAAGCAGGAGTGCTCCAGCCTCCCCCGGCAGCTGCCAGCTGGTGGTGCATTTCACTTATTTATTTATTTTTAAAAATATTTTCATTGATTTCAGAGAGGAAGGGAGAGAGAGACAGAAACATCAATGATGAGAGAGAATCATTGATCAGCTGCCTCCTGCATGTCCCCCACTGGGGATCGAGGCCGCACCCAGGCATGTGCCCTGACCAGGAACTGAACCATGGCCTCCTGGTTCATAGGTCGATGCTCAACCACTGAGCCACGCCGGCCGGGCTGGCAGTGCACTGTAACTGGGCCTCCTTGACCCACGGGCGGCGTCCTGGCTGGGGCGGGCAGGCGGGTGGGGTGACATGGCGTGTGGGTGACAGCCAGCGCGTCACCCGCCTCCTGAAACTGAGTGCCTGCGTTTCTCTCGGGCATTGCCAGGGGACACATGACTGACACGCATCCATTAAAAACACAAGTTAATTATTTTCGGTGGATGCCTTTCCTTCTGGAAACTAGTTTCTGATTGGCTTTCGGACGGGTCGCTCTCCGCACGGGCTGCACTGCCGTCTCTGCAGAGCTGCGGGGGGAGCTCACCTCCTCCCGGCGACTCCGGGCCGCACACGAGGACAGGTTAGGAAGATGAATGCGTGGGAGCTGAAGGACCGGGATGCCGGGGGAGGGTCGGCCCTGCACTTTGAGGCCTTTTTTGTTTTTTGAATCAAATAGGTAGCATTTTATTCTGTTTGTCAAGGCGGATGGTCTACACGGCTGCCTCTCCAGGTCGGAAGCGGAAGTGGAGACCTGCTCTATTAACGCTGATCCCTGTTTGATGCGTTGCCTATAGGGCTGCCTTGTTCTGTACTGAAGTCATTGGGTGACACCGGTTAATAAACCACAGAGGTGTCCGGTGTACAGTTCCATCACACCGCACCTGCACACTGACCTGGACTGTGCGTTCCCCACCCCAGGTCAGGTCTCCTTCCCTCACCACCTATACCTCCGCCCGACATCCCTACAGCCCCTTTCCCTTCTTCCACCTCCCCTGCCCCGCCCCCCCGCCCCCGTAATCACCATACTGTTGTCTCTGTCTATGAGGTTGTTTTGTTGTTGTTGTTGTTTTTGGCTTAATCCTTTCACCTTTTTCACCCAGCCCCCTTTCTTAGTGGGATCTTGTAGCTCTGAGCCACTGGGGCCATGCCCACTTTATTCCCTGCACCAGCACTACCTCTGGTGGCCCACACACGGCCTGGAGCATAGTAGGTGCTCAATAAACAGAGAATGAACAAGTTCTCCTATAACCGCTCTCCATGCTAGG